ATAAAACTGCCCAGTCCTGCAGATTTGCTTTATACAACATTAGGAAGATCAGGCCCTTTCTTTCGGAACATGCTATACAACTAGAGGTTGACCGTTTGATCGGCCGGCCGATTTGTGGCATTTTTTAATGAATCGGCATCGGCCGATTGTGCTGCAAATTAGGCCGATTTATAGGCAGGCACATCTGCAGGCAGCTAAGCGTTGTTGCGGAACGCCGGAGAATCTCTCTCTGGCTGCGTGAGAGATGGAGCAACTCACACTCTGCAGCCAGTTCTTGTTCACACACAGCTTCAGCTAATGATGGCAGGGCAAATCAGACCATTTCGAAAGTGTAATTACATTTTACCCTAATAGAATTGATGCCGGAAAGTTATCATATTCATAAGTGCAACAAGTCATTTGCATGTGAAAGTAGAAACACATGAAATTCAGACGGAACTTCTAGGCTGATTATAACGTGCACGTTAACTTTCCTCATGAAATGTGTGTGTAGGTCCGACAATAGCATCCACAATGTCATCGCTTGTGGCCAGTGCACTCTAATTTTGTTATCACTTGGCCATTTGACTTATAGCAGTGTCCAGTGTTTCCCATATATTGAGTTATGGGAAATAAATAAAATAAAAAAAAAATAGATTTCCCAAAAGGCTTATACTTTGTTGACCGCCATAAATGGATTTCCCAAAAGGCTTATACTTAGTTGAATAAACTGAGCAATGCACGTTTCAAAATTAAAATGCAGCGCGGGTGTTTTTATATGAATGTATCTTTGAAAAGAACCGACCATCTTCACAAAAGCTTCGATGTCATTTTCATTTTGTCTTTCCTGTAATGCCTGATAAAGTAGCGTTTGTGAGCGCAGTGCTTATTAGATTACAGCCATTACCAGGGAAACCGCTATATCTCCCGCTCCAACAGCGCCTCCTGCTGTCAGAGAATGAATTTGCATTTGCAAGTCTGTGGGAAACTGGTGTCTGTCAGCAAACATAAAAAGCATGCTTCAGAACTGTTTTGAGAAGGTGCTTAAGTTTTGAGCCATGTATTATTACTCTGAATTAGGCTACTACTACTATTACTATCTTGTACCCTGCAATAATCTTTTACTCAAAATCACTTTTATGAGATGAAGGGAAAAAAAAAAAGAAAAACGGCCAAAATATCGGCATCATATATCGGCCATCGTCTGCCCTGATTTCTAAATATCGGAATCGGCCAGTGAAAAACCCATATTGGATCAACCTCTATACACAACTCCTTGTTTAAGCTCTCGTTTTATCCAGACTGGACTATTGCAATGCTCTCTTAGCAGGTCTTCCAGCCAATTCTATCAAACCTCTACAACTAATCCAGAATGCGGCTGCAAGATTAGTCTGTAATGAGCTGAAAAGAATGCATGTCACACTAGGGTTGGGCTGATAGACGATGCCATCGTCCATCGCCGATGGCTGACAGACATCACGATGTTAAGCTGACATCGTGATTCCCCACCACCCCCTCTCCCGCAATCCGCCGCATCCCAGATCCGTGTTCAGAAAGCAAATGAAGTGTACTACGGAAACCCTAAAGGGAATAAATAGCCTACAAGATGGGAGGATAAAAAATATTTCAATACTGCAAATAATTCGCCATCGTCCTATCAGACATTTCTCCTTACTCTGTGTATGTGGTAAGTGAACTTTCATGTACTGTAATGCAACAGGCTACCACTACCAAGCGGCAAACCTTTTAGTGGCTCCGTATAACGCGTTATTTGTTTCACGCTTCGGGCACATCCCTAACCCTGCCCCCCGTCCCGCCCCCCAATGTCATCGTCCATCACGATGTTTCACTGTAGACATCGTCCGATGCCAATTTGGTAGACATCGCCCAACCCTATGTCACACCTCTGTTCATCAATTTGCACTGGCTACCAATAGCTGCTCACAATTCAAGCAGAAGAAAATTCAAGGCATTGATGTTTGCCTACAAAACCACCACTGGCTCTGCACCCCTTTAGCTAAATTCTCTACTTCAGAATTATGTGCCCTCTAGAAGCTTGCGTTCTGAAAATGAACGCCGCATTATAGTGCCATCCCAAAGAGGCATAAAATCACTTTCTCTGACTTCTACAGTAACTATTTCGTCCTGGTGGAATGACCGGCCCAACTCAATCCAAGCAGTCCTTAGCCATCTTCAAGAAATGGCTAAAAACACATCTCTTCAATCTTCATTTGACCCTCTAACTTTAGCACTCTCTATTCTAATTATAAGGAAAAAAAAAAAACCTTGACCCTCTAACACTTGCACTCTCTATTCTATTTCTATTCTTACTACTTGTCTTCTTAAAAAAGAGAGCCTCTGACACAAGCATTCTCTATTTTTTTCTATTCTTGTTTTCTTTTTATTTGTTATAAAAGTGAACCTCTAACACTAGCATTATCTATTCTTTTTCCATTATTTTGACTTGTTTTACTTTTATTTTAAAAAAAGACCCTCTAATGCTGAGTTCACACTGCACGATTTTTGAAAATCATGCAGTGTGAACTCAGCATAACACTAGCGTTCCCTATTCTTTTTCTATTCTATCTACTTGTTTTTCTTTTTATTTATTATAAAAAATAAACCCTTGTTACGTGTACTGTGTTTGACCGAGACTTGTCACAGCACTAACATATTATTGCCCTTTTGTTGGTTTTGATTGCTACTATTTGATTGCTTCTAAAGGTAATGTAAATGTAAATATTTGTTCACTCCATTG